AATAAATGAGCAAAGGGCATGAACAGACACTTCTCCAAGAAGGACATAGGCAGGCTTAGAGACATGTGAAAGGATGCTCAGCATCACTAGCCATCGGAGAGAGAATGCTGGCAAGACTGTGTAAAAAAGGAAACCCTAGTACACTGTTGGTGGGAATGCAGACTGGTGCAGCCACTGAGGTAAACAGTATGGAATTTCCTCAAAAAGCTAAAAATGGGACTGCCTTTTGATTCAGAAATTCCACTGCTGGGATTATACTCTAAGAATCTTAAAACACCAATTCAAAAGAACCTATGCACCCCCATGTTCATAGCAGCACAATTTACAATAGCCAAGTGCTGGAAGCAACCTAAGTGCCCATCAGTAAATGAGAGTATCAAAAACTATGATACATTTACACAATGAAATACTACGCAGCTGAAAGAAAAGAGCTCCTGCCCTTCACGACAGCATGGATAGAACTGGAGAGCATTATGAAATAAACCAGGAGGTGAAAGACAAATACCATATGATCTCACCTGTAAGTGAAACCTAATCAACAAAACAAACAAGCAAGAAAAACATAACCAGAGACATTGAGATAAAGAACAAACTGAAAGTAACCAGGGGGGAGGGCGGAAGTGGGTAGTGGGGGAAAGAAGGGAAAGGTCATCAAGGAACATGTGTAAAGGACCCAGGGACAAGGCCAGAAAGGTGTAAAATTGAGGGTGGGAGGTGGGGGTGGGTGGAGCTGGGGAGAGTGGTGGGGGGAAAATGGAGGCAACTGTATTTGAACAACAATTAAAAAATAAAATAAAATAAAAATAATTAAATACAATTAAAAGTTTAATCATTCAGTAACTAACAATGCATTTATCATGTTTCTATTAATAATATATAAATGGAAATTCAGTACCAAGTATATTATTAGCTACTAAAAGGTACTCTTTAATTTTTATTAAAGTACAGTTGACATACAATATATACTAGTTTCAGTGATTCAACATTTCTATTCCTTATGATGTGATCTAGTAACCATCTGTCACCATAGAAGTTATTATAATAATGTTGACTATGTTTTTATGCTGTATATTACATCTCTGTGACTTTTTAAATATATATAACTGGAGGTTTGTACTTCTTATTCCCCTTCACCTTTTTTACCCATTCTTCCACCATCCTCCCCTCTGGCGACCATCAGTTTGTTCCTTGTACCTATGAGTCTGTTTCTGTATTGTTTTATTTTTGCTTGGTTTGGTTTGGTTTTGGTTTTAGATTCTACAAGTACCTGAACTTACACAGTACTTGTGTTCCTCTGTCTGACTTATTTCACTCAGCATAATACCAGCTAGATTCATCCATAGTGTTGCAAATGACAAAATTTTCTTCTTTTTATGCTGAATAATATTCCACTGTATATAGATACGACATCATCTTTATCCATTCTCCTATCAATGGACACCTAGGTTACTTCCATATCTTGCTATGGTAAATAATGCTGCAATGAACACAGGGGTGCATATATCTTTCGAAAAGGCAACCTACTGAATGGGAGAAGATATTTGCAACTGATACATCTAATAAGGGGTTAATATCCAAATATACATCAAGAATTCATAAAACTCAACATCAAAAAAACAAACAATCTAATTTAAAAATGGTCAGAGGACCTGAACAGACATTTTCTTCAAAGAAGGCATACAGATGGCCAACAGACTTCTAAAAAGATGTTCAACATCACTAATCATCAGGGAAATTCAAATCCAAACCACAATGAGATATCACCTCACACCTGTCAGAATGGCTGTCATCAAAAAGACAACAAATAACAAGTATTGTATAAGTAAGGATATGGATAAAAGTGAACCCTCATATACTGTTGGTGGGATTGTAAATTGCTGCAGCCACTAAGGAAAACATTATGTAGGTTCCTCAAAAAATTAAAACTAGAACTACCACACTAACCAGTAATTCCACTTCTGGGTATTTATCTGAAGAAAAGGTAAGCTTTAAACAATTTCAAAATAAATCTGTAATGATCAAAATATATCTATAACAAGAAGAGGTGCAAGCATCCAAAGATAGAAATTTACCCATTCTTCCCATAAAATGCATTTTTACTTCAGTAAAAACTAGTTCAGACCTTCACAGACTCACACCAGGACTAGCAAAATGAGCCTCCTAAGTAGTTTGCTTTGCTTCAACCACATTAATGCTCTTATTTTCTATTCAAAACATTTACCGATTCTCCACAAAGCAAACTCTAAACTCTTTGGCCCAGCAGATAGTTAGCATCATGCAATGCTTCCAAGCATATCAACCCCAGTCCACATCCACAGGGACCTACCCTCCCTCGCTTCATGTCCAAGCCCAATCATATGAACAATACATTCCTGCATTTCTTCATAATCTTGGTCATCCTGAAGTGTCCCCTCTTTTCCCTTATGTCCATGTACCTGAATTCTACCCTCAAAACCATATCACCTACAACACCTTCCCTAGCCATCCAAGCTAGAGTCCTAGTAGCTGATACTACTCATAAACCCCTTTGTATACACCATCACCTATACACTATGTATTCAAATAGGTTGCTTATTCCAACTGTACTGCAAATCTTAAGGACACTTCTCATGTCATTTCTTTATATTACAGCACCTTTTACCCAACTCCTGCCCTCCTTCACCACAATGGCCAGGACAGCGTCTTTCATAACAGGTGCTCAGCTAGCACCTACTGAGTCAAAGACATAATGCATGAAAATGACAACTTAAGTATCCCTTAATAATAAAACGATAATATGAACCAAATAAGACTTCTGAGAAGCTAAATTATTTTTTTCTTTAAAATTTCTGAGGATTTGGAATTCAAGATGATGGTACTAAGTCGTTTTCCTTCAGCAGAAATGGTACTGCCTTTGCCCTCAATGTCATGCTTTTCCAGTGCGTTCCCAGAGGATCCTCTGCTCCCCTGGTGGGAATCCATTACAAATTCCTGTTCACTCGTCTATGGGCAACCCATGTAGTAGGAACTCAAGTAGTCAGTGATTGACCCAGCACCATGATTATCTAAAGTAAACACGATTAAAGAATCACCTTTACTAGATACATAGATGTTAAATAAACTTAATTCATGACTGTACACTTTCAAATGAGACATATGGCCAAAATTCTAAGAACTAAATTTATATACGTATTAACCACAAAAATGAACACACTAATGTCAAGAGAAATGCTATGTAGACATATGTATGTGCATATAAATGATTTTTATACTCATAGAACATTTCTAGAATAAAGCACCATTTTGTAAAGGGAAAATGAGGGTATAAAAGAGAATATTTTTACTTTCTACTATTCTGCATTACTTTTTTTAACTATGGAACATATTTAACTTTCAAATTAACTCATCCCCCCCACACACACAAGAGGCAACCTAATGGCAATAAAAACATTTTTTTTAAATGTGTAGTTACTCTACTGTTAGAGTAAACTAATAAAAATTTTAGACATTAAGAGCTGAGCATGAAAGAAAACATAGACAGTGAGGCTTTGGAAGTTCAATGAGGAGATTTTGTTTTTGTGGTTTAATTTCTGTAAAATGGGCAAGCTCCTTCTTAACTAAGTACTTCCTAATTTAAATTCTTTCATCTATGTGTCCAACACTCCCATATATTTAAGTATTGAATTACCAAAATATATGATCCATCCTTTCAAACAGGTAAAGAGGTAATAAAACTTTTCCCAAGGTACAAGATACTAATAAGAAAGGCTTCTCAGATGTTCAATAAAAACTCCCCCTCTAGAGCGATTTTAACTAAAATGCACCTTATAAGTAAAGTGTTCAGTCCTTGTAACAGAAGGTATCCCCTGAAAAATGTCTTCTGGCCTTTTGTGGGAGACTTTAAACCATGTGACATAGTCTCTTGGGGGCCATGACCTACTCATTGTCACATACTGAGCCACTAAAATAATCTAGCACATAGTAGCTTCTTAGTGACCATTAGCTCAACGATGGCACTTCTTCAAACAGTACACTTGCAGAAATCAACAGAATATGCTCTGATAAGTAAGGAAATATCATTTCTGTATGTCCTAGATTATCATTTTTACATTACAAATATATTAAAAACATAAATAATAGAGATAACCTTGATGAAATGACTCCAAATCCAGTTTGGTTTTATACTAGCCCAGAAATCTTCTCATAAGTTACTCTAATAAACTGCAGGCAGTTTGATATGTTGCCTTTAAAGGGCAGGATGAAGGTGAGTGGTCACAGAACACTGGGACTGGGGAAGCCCCAGTTCTGTCCCACTCCCTTCAGACCAGAGAGAGCTGTGAACACAGCTTGACATAGTCTAGTTTCTGATGATCAGAAAATAATTTTTTCCTTCCAAAATCTGGACTCATCTTTGTATCGCGCAGGGTTTATTTCTGGAATGCCTTCTCTGGGTCTCATCAGCTCACCATTTGCAAAGATGAGAAGAGTTGCTTTTCCTACCACTCCTGCCATCTGGAAAGCCCTCTCTGCTTCACTCCTCCCCATAAAAAGCCCATCTGTGCTCAAATCTCATGATGAAATGCATCCTTGGTCTTTTGCCTTCACTTCTCTAATTTCCTTTGACTTCAGTTCCTATCCTAAGACTCACTTCTTCTACATCAAGCTCTTGTCTCCCGTATTTTGCTATGCTGGCTCCATCTTTCTAGTTAATCATTGCAGGGGCAAATTTTGTGACCAATCTCCTTGGAATAACAAAGTTATGGTCCCAATTGCAAACTGAGACTCTCACAACCTTTATATAAAAGCAGTAAACCACAAGATCATTTCAAATTTTTACTAGCACAGTTAATTTAAAGAAAGGAAAAAAAGATATAAATAGTTTTAGAAAGCTTTCCAGACTTTTTGAAGTTTCAAATTAATTAAAACCAGGTAATTCATTTCAAACAGTTATCATACTTCCTCCACAACGAGACCAAACCAGGTCCCAAGAAAAGAAACTGGCAATACGGCAATGCACATACCTGAGGATATGGGGAAGTCCTGGATTTTGACTTTGAACTGGAGAGTCTGGACTTGGCCCCCTTCCTGCTGTCAGGCATGGTAGGCGTAGAGCTGCTGGCATATGAGAAGGTTGGTTTGGAGGCTGAGATCTGATCCAGGGAGAGCTGTAGCCCTTTGTACTCCGTGTCCCTGTGGGGTAGGAGAACATAGCCCTTCATCAGCCACCAGAGGCAATGGAATTCATACATTCTCTCACCAGGAACGACAGTAATCAGTATTTGAAAAGGAAGCAAGCAGTAGTTGTCTATATAACTGGTTTCCACAAACACCTTGATTATTTTAGAAATGCCTAACATTTAACTAATGTGTGTGAATACAGCTGCCGCCTATACTACAAAGAAATTATATTATATGCTCATAAAAATTTCTTCACTAAATTTTTTTTCCTTATTTTTATAAGTAGGAAAAAAAATTCAATCTCTGAGTTTTTGTGTTCTCATTGGTGACATGGTTCCAAAACCTACTCTGAACATTTTCTGTGTGCGGTAAACTCCACAGACAACTGGCCATCTGATGCTATCTGATTATTGGCAAGAAGAATATCTTCTATCAGCAGTTCCAAGATCAATAATTCAGATAAACATTCCATATATTCTTATAGCTAGGAAACTAATGTAACCTGGTTTATAAGTAAGTTAAATATCCCTAACTAATTCAGTTACCTTAGGGTATATTTTATCACTGTTTTTTTCCATTCCTTCTTTCATTCAATAAATATTTATTATGCTCCTAATATATAGCAGATTTTGTGCTATGTGGTGATGAAAGAAGAGTAAGAAATGTAAAGCCTCTGCCCTTGTGCAGAGTATAATCTATTTGGGAAAAGATGGTAAACAAATAAACAAACACACCTGCAGACTGATAGGAAGGGAGTAAAGTGTGTATCTCAGAGAGGCCATCGCAAAGCTACTGCTTGAAGTATTTAGGGGCTGAAGACCACATCCTTGGCCCTGCCCACAGCTCCCACCTCAGTCCCCTTCTGGGCAGCAGGGCATCTCGTCTGACTCCTTGGTTTTGGCAAGAGGATATCAACCCTTCCCACTGGCAAAAATAAAATGCTTCAGAGTCTTCTTTATAAGGACTCATGGGACCACTTTCCCTCAGGTTCAAGAACTAGCTGGGCTGCACCTGGGTATATGATTTCTTTTTTATTTCATGAACACTGTGAATCACATAACTCATCTCTCTGCATTGTTCTCTGCATTGGAAGTCAAAAAGCCCCAAGCTCTGGGTCCAATTTGTAACCACCTCTAGCAAGTCCTCATGGCAGGCATTTTGTGCAATGAACTCCACTGGCTTCCATTATTTTTCTTATATTATTTTTCCTTTTCTCTAATTGGTTCACCTTTTAAAAATTTTTATATGTATTTTACTACTCTTTGGATTAGGATTGGTATATGAAATATAATAAACTAGTAACATTATATATGAAAAAGTGACTGGCAGATTTCCATGGATCAGCAAATATCCATTTACCTTTTTTTCTTTCCCCCTATTTGTTCTCCTACTGAAAGACCAGGCAAAAGCAAAACTATGATTCTGGCAAGGAGTCCCTCAAGTGACTAGGAATAGAAACCAAATAAAACAGGTTCAATAATATCACTACCACAAACAACAGTCTAGTGATATATATTAGCAAACCACAATGGCTTCATATCAGATAACCCATCTACTCAGTGCAAGAAAAAAAAATAAACAAAAAAAAGCCTCCTCCGTGAGCAACAGACATTTAGAATGTGGGCACGCACTTTGTCTTTCAGGCTTGGGCAGTCTGGTCACAAGCCTGGTCTGCTCCACTGTTCTAATCAACTCCAACTGAGGACAACTCACAACATAGACTCCAAACACTCCTTGGTCAGAAATTCAGTGCCCTCCAAAATGTGAAAAGGTGGCTCCCACCTATATATCTGACAATATTTCAAAATTTTCCTTCATCAGCTCCTCACTTCATCCAAAATAGTTCTCCCCATACTGACCTTATATTTTCCTGACTCTCCCTCTCCCCCAATATGTACCTATAAAATCCTTTCATAAAGAACTATCTTAAATCCCCTTTGCCTCTATGGAACCCCTCCTGACATCTAACCCCATTAACTCCTTCAATACATGTTTACTGAGTGTCTCTGTGCAGGCTCTGTTCTGGGGCTCACAGAGATATCAATGAGCAGAAGGAATAAGTCACTATCTCCATGAAGAAGGCACCAGGGCCAGTTCCAGAGGGAAGTATGGAGGGAACCAGAAATTACCTTTTTTCCTCCTCTAACCTTATTTTTCAAGTGATTATGTGCTATCTGTCCCAGTGGATTCTCAGTTCTTAGAGGACAAGACTCAAAGGTGATTTTGTTGTATTCCAATACTATTTGTACACTATTTTTCATAGATGGAAGAGGAAAAAGATACAGTTGCAAACAGAAAAGAATTGTTTACCCCAATAACTGCTAATAACTTGTAACCCAACAGCCTTTCTCTGCGGCAAAAGACCCTCATGGCTGTAAGTCCCCTCCTCCCCACCACCTGCCCTGAGGTCACATGTGTGTGACAGTGAGCCAGGGAAGCTGAGCTCTGACAGTAGGTTTCCAACCAACGCTTGGGCATCTTCTGTGTCAAATGTGATCCGGTCCACTGGACAGCAGAGTATTCATCCAGTCTCTGCCTGACAGGACCTAGCCTGACAGCAAAAATCATGCACTCCTGAAAATATAGCTAAGCAATTTTGTACACTCACTCTTAATGCAACATTTTAGCACAGGAACTTCATGGCCACAAGCACAGAGTTAACAAGAATTCATTGTTCTCTTGCATACTTTCAAACTCCACAAGCATGCATCTCAACTAATTGAAAAAGTTTTTCCAAAATTTTTACATAAATTTTGCTTCCAATGACAGAAATATTCCAAATGAAATCTTAAATAACATTTTAAAACCAGCAAATGATTTGAAATTCTAAATATTGATATGAAAGCTCTAAAAAATATGATTTATGCATATCTGTTAATAAATTCATAAAAATGTTTAACATTTTGATGCACATCAAAAACTACCAAAAAGAATCCACCACACTTTAGAGAAGGCCATGAAGTCAGGGTTTGAGCCACTTTCTAGGTAATAACCCATTTAGACCCCGATTTCCTCATTATCACTCATAGGGATGCAGTGAGGTTTAGATTAAATATTATATGAAAAACTCATAACACAGTACCTAGAACATAGTAAATGCTCAATATATAGTGAGTATTATTTCTTAACTCCCACATTCTGTGGCACTTTTTCACCCACAATTTCCCAAGAACAATAGCTTCATTTTCATAGAAATTGTAATCCATTTCATCACAAACACCTCCTTATACTGAATTTTTTTCTACCCCAAACTCATTTTAATTTGCTCTATTAGTTTTTGGCCTCTAAACTCTACAGCCAAAATACTTATTAAGGTAAGTTCTTTATTGCTTAGTCAGCAAATGAGGACCTTAAACAACACAGACCCAACACTCCGAGAAGAGTTCAGCCTGTTCAAAAGTCTAACAGCTCAAAAGATGTGTTCAGATGAAAAGCACAATAAAAAAAATACCCACTTAAAGACATTTCAAGTACGGTTGATGTGCTGCCAAGAGGAGCTCTGAATGGCAAATTCACTAAGAACAAAGCATTTGTTTTATTTTTAGAATTCTATTAAATTGAGTATTTCATTTGTATAGATTAAAGGGCTAGCTGCTTATAGGAATCACATTACGAGTTCCATTTCCCTCCTCCAGACTCAGAAACAAAGAAGAGTCTGGCCCTACCTCTCTCCCTTCCCCTCAGTGAGGCATGTTCTGGTATCACACACATCCTCAAAGTTAGCTATATGCATAACAAAATTAGGGGTACGCATATCAATGCTTCCCTATGGAGCTGGACAAAATAAAATACTTGGGCACACAGGACTTAGACTCTAAAGTGAGTATGGTGAGGAATTTGACTTAACTGACTTAAACAAAGGAAGGACACAGCCTGCTGTACTTCTGCAGCTTTCTTGAAAGTGCCACACTGACTCTGTTTGGGATTCCATAGGTAACCATCTCTCTCATTCAGTTCTCCCAAACATGAATGGCATATTGAAAGAAGAACTATAGCATGCACCTTCTGGCACATTTTTGAAATAGCTACGGATACCAATCTACGTTTGTTTTCTCTTCTCCCTTTAATGACTTGTATCAGAGCTGCGGACATCCACAAGTACCTCAGCTCTGAAAGCAGTGTGAAATGGGTAATTTGCAATCACTAAAACACGCAGCTTGTCAATCTCACCCATATTTGCACAGACCAAAGTAATCCTCTTATTTCATTATGGACAGTCAGAAATCATTCAATTTGCAGAATTAACCATCTGAGTCTACTCTAAATTTTATAATAGTCATGTACACATTTGGAATTACTCAAATTCCAATAAAATAAAAGGACCCATTTGTGCATCATTGGCCTTCTGGCATTCCCTTAAGAAATATGCCAAACCCACTTACGAGGTAAATACCACCTTGCTGTGTAGAAAACTCAGTGTGACACCCATGCAAAGCAAATAGGAGGTACCTTCGCCACTAAAAGGTACTATCAGCTTCGGAGAAATGCATAAATATTTCTATCATTTCAAGTGGGAAACATGCCTCCACAATGTTAAAAGTAGCACTAACACATTTGCAGTCTTTAAGTGAATTGGAATGAATGCACAGAGAAAGGGTAACAATATTTTATCAGTTCCTGCTGAGTAAAAGTTCTTTGCAAGAATTTTCCTCTGCAATTTGCCACACCCTATTCTACTTCCATTTTAGACAACTGAGTTTGGCTTCTTGTACCATCAGCTTTGGAGCTGGCCATTTTGGAGTTTCTTTGTTGACTTTATGTTATGTGGCAATTCTTTAAAAAATGTTGCCAGATTTCCCAAATGAGCTATTTTTTTAAACAGCTGAAGGTGATCAAATTACTGAGGAAAATGTGGAAACAAAGACATACAATTGATTTGGCTCCAAAGGCACTGACTGAAATAAGCAGAGGATTGCATTAAACCATGATCGGATTAAGTGGGAATGACTGTGCCTTAATACTAAACTTTTTAATTGGATTCTAGAGTCACTGTTACATGAAGTGCATGACCT